AATTATTTTGGAAACAATTTTTATAATTATGATTAACTTACGTCATTGGCTTGAATTTCTCTTTGCTGAAATTCAGAGAGTATTAAATTAGTTACACACTTAATCAGTATAAAGGATAGGTAAGGTGATTAAGTAAACAATATAAAGACCCCAACTAATATGAATATACCTTGTCGATCACTTCCTCAACTATAGGCCGGAGATTAGGATAGCTGTTCATGATGTAGAGAACGTGTCCCAACTCTGGATTCAAACGATTCTTCAGCGACAAATCACCCTGGAAATGAAAATTTTGCTCCAAGTATTACAAATCCAAAGTTTCGGTCTAATATTGTACCAAAAATATAGCTTTCAGGCAATGGACACTTATCCGCAGTTCTTGCCAGTTTTGTTCTTAATTCTATTCTGAGAGTCGTTCATCGAAAAATTCAAAATCATACATATTTTGTTAAACCAAAAATCGTGTGGAAAAACTAATTTAAACAACCTAATACAAAATTAAATGAGATAGCTCCTCGAAACTACGACCATAAAACAACTTACAGCCTTTAAGTCTTCCATCACAGCCATATTTAGAAGACTAGCAGAGAACAATGGATTATCATACTGCTCGAAGATAAAAGTCAGGTCATCCATATGAGGAGGCGTCAGTAAATTATAAAGAGTCCGGTACTCCTGCACCAGTTCTGGTAGAGAAAGGCACAGCTTGCATTTATAGATAGCATCGTCCATAATCTTGGTGATACGCTCGCATTGGATGTGGCATTCCAAGTCGATTGGTGATGCAGCTGGAATGATGGAGTTAGAAGTAATACATCATATAGGTACTTAACAATGGCTCTAACTTCGCTCGAAATATTATGTAGAAGTGTTGAACATAAAAAACATAGCACTTTGCCTTTTGTTCGTCGTAAGCCCGACAAAGGCAAACAAAAGACCTACGTAACGTGTACTACCATAATTCTTTTGACCATAAGTTCTACAGAGTGAACATAAATCTACATTGCTTCGATTCCAAATGCATAAGTTCTCCAATAATTATACTCACCATTATCTTTCGTTAGATCCATTTCTCTTTCTTTTTCAGTACTTTGACCAGATCTACTGCTGGTCTTCGAGCTATCTGAGTATGTAGATGTGGACTGCAAGGTCCCCGTCATCGATGGAGGATCCATTTTTATTATTTCCTATAAATTCTTTTACTTACAAAAATATTAGTACGGAAATACGTTTTATGTCACTTTGTTTCCTGCTTTTTCCTGATCGATGTTTGGTAACTATGGCAACAGTAAACATCATTGAGTTTTTTTTCTTTATTTATGGCCATAGCAGGTTGTTTTATTGTGTACTTGTGTACACACACTGATAATGATAATGTTATATATCTATATGTACCACTGCGTACCACTTAAATCGAAGGCTCAAATATTACCTAATTATTGGATTGTTAGGTACTTTTTTGGACGACAGCACATTCCGCGCTGCAATTTGTTTAAGTCTTGGGGCTTCATTTTGTTCACCTCATCGTTGTCGTTGTGGTGAAGATGTCAACAGCCTTGGACACCACGGCTTGTCGTGTAGCCGTAGTGCGGGGCGAAAGTATGATAGCCTGATTGGCAATTATGCTTTCGAACCGTTTGGGTTTGAAACTTTAGGGCCGTGGGGCCCAAGTGCACATCTTCTTTACAAAGATATTGTAAGGAGGATGGTTGACACTTCAGGTGATCGAAGGACTGGCTACTACCTTGGACAAAGGTTAAGCATTGCCATTCAACGTGGCAATGCTGCCAGTCTTTTGGGCACCCTAGTTCACGATAGCGATGAGGAAAAAATTTTTTTTATGCCTTATGATAGCATTTTAATTTTTATTTTTTTTAAGGTGTAAATATTTTACTTCATTTTTATTTATATTTTAATTTGTATATATTTTCTTTTACATAGTAATAGTAATTATTAATTTTCATATTCTTAAATTGATTTAAGCAAAACATACAGCCGAATTGAGAACATCCTCCTTTTTTGGGAAGTCGGTTAAAAATAAAATTCACATTGAAAAAAGTTATTGGATTGAAGTTTTAATAATACCAATAAAAATAAGATAATAAAATTGAATTAGGTATTCAGGACGCTACATTGTGAAATATTTCAAAACATTTAGTTGTTGGGTAAGAAAGCCTATGAAACATGTTAAATTTATTGCTGGCTGTAAATAATAATCGTAGGACCGCATCATTGCTTACCGTTACCACCAGGCGAGATAATGGTCAAACGTCGGACCATTAAATAAAAAAAAACATTTAAGAACTAGTCAATAAAATTAATGTAATTGTTTATTCCATCAATTTAAATTTAGAACTGAATTGACCGAATCTTATTTTTAATTTCGAGAAATAAGTTTAGTTTTCAACAAAAATAACGTTGGTCATTGGTTTTACTAAGTATACTACTTAATTAACAATCGTAAATCATAACAGAACATTAAAACTCCATATTGAATTATTTATAATTAATTTCGTTTCGACGAATACGATACTTGTAGGGGTTGTAACTCCCTACAGTGATGATTATAAGTTTATGTTGCAATGTTGGATGTTGTTAATGTTAAATGAGTAGACGGCCAATGTCTTAGATAGTTTTATTGCTACTGAATTAAATTAATTATGTAGTTTACAATGTTCCGAAATGCTGATTACGATGATTTAATTATTCGCGCGTATGACGACAAAGTCAATGTACAGCGTAGCTCGTACAATACTAAAGAGAATACATGGAAAACAAAATGCATTGAAGCGTAACACCATAAGGACACCACCAAGGTTACGCTTTAACACCGTTGTTAGGAATATTTAATTAATCAATAACACTAGCGGCATGTTGCCGCGTTACCTGCATCTAGTTAGTTCAATAACTGTATAACAGTGCCTAGGACTAGTAGTATCACCTTTTTGTCTCAACTTACGTATTTAACAAAGGTAAGATAATTTAATTTTTTGTGATCGTACACAGTTATTATGAGATATCTATGAGCATACAATAACATTTTTATGTGACAAGCCGGTAACCGAGCAAAGACCATGATGGTAGGCAATCGGCACCGCATACGTAAGTACGCCTGAAGCACCAGGGGTGTTACAGGTGCGGTACCGGCCTTTTGGGTATTAGGTTTTAAGGGAATTAACAACATTTTTTTATGGAATAGGAGGCAAACGAGCAGACTGATCACTTGATCACTTGATGGTAAGTGAATAACATAATATAGGTGATGGTAACAATAACATCACGTCTTTTATTTCCCGAAGGGGTACGCACATATTCAACATATTCCCACGTAACAGTGGATGCGTTGAGCCTTTTGCAAAACACCAGGCAAAACTCTCCAGACTTCGCGCTGTTACTGAACATTTCTCGAAAAACATTGGAAAAATACTCGCCTGCATCAACAAATGAAACTAAAACATCACCATTACCTATACGAACCTTCTTTTACAGCAAGAAAATCTAAACATCCAAAATGGGTAAGAAAGGCAAAGTGAACAAGTTGGCGAAGATGTCAGATGAGGAGCGAGCCAGGTATCTGCAACATCGCGCCGACTTGGAGGAAGAGGCTCGTCGGAGGAAACAAGAACTTATTCATAGGTTCATAAAGGTGATATTTGATTTGATTCTATTCACTTTACGACATCGGTTAGGAGCAGGAGTTAGAACGAACGATGTAGCTTTTATTTAGATAATGATAAGTGCACACAAAGCTAGTACTTTTGTTGAGTAGCGAGTATTTAGCAGCTCTCTCTCGCTTTTGTCCCAAAATCGAAAGAGTTACTAAATACTCGTTACTCTACCAAAAATATTAGCGTAGTGCGAGCAAGACACAAGATTTTGCACTCCCTCAAATCTCCTTACCCAGGGTGGGAACAGTCACATTCTCGTCTCACAGAAATAAAGGCTCTAAAACAAACAATGAGATCTTCGTCTACTCATTTGCCTTCTATTCCATAAAAAAAGAAATCAAAACATACCCAATTTTAAGGGTACCTATTTAATATTAGGGTGCGTCCACATCTGGCGAATGCGCAGCTCGCGAATCGCCCGCGGGGCATTTTCCAGATATGGACGCACCCTTACGTATCTCAGATTAAAATTCTCTACCTAACGTTGAATAAAACTATTTTATACTTATTTAATTCTGTCGCTTCCTTCCTTTATTTGTAAAATAATTTGCGTCGTATGTTTACAGAATAAATTAGACAAAGAAGAGGCCTACAGTCGTTTGAATACAGCGAAAATAAATCAACAATGGAGGTTTATCCTGCGGAAAATAAAATGCAAACAAATGGCGTTGGATATTCAGGTAAACAACATTATTATTATATTTATTGTCTTTGTTAAGGAATTTTGTGGAACATCGGAGCTGTATTTTTTAGGGTATTGTATGATTTAATGGTTTCGTAAGTATAATGGTAGTCGAGCATGAAAATAGCGAATTAGGTACTTGCCTATATAGTTTCTTTAAAAAGTTGACGAAAATACTTTTTAATCAAGTTCGCAGGATTCGATGGTTGGTTTATCACTACATAGTGTAAAACTAAGTCGCTATCCGCCGTCTGTCTGTCCCTATGTATGCTTAGATCTTTAAAACTACACAACGGATTTTGATGCGGTTTTTTTAAATAGATAGGGTGATTCTTAAGAAAGGTTTATATGTATAATACATGCATATTGCACCCGTGCGAAGCCGGGCCAGGTCGCTAGTCATGTAGGCTGGATGTTGTGGATTAACTTTAAGTTAGCAATCCGTAAAGCTAAGTTGGTAACTACTGCTAACATAATGTATCATACCTACTTTCCATAAGATGTAAGTTAATTATTGCCTTTAGAACATGCTGACCAGCTTCAACTTCCTGGTAGAGCGCAAGGACCGCCTGATAAAGACGCTGGTGAGGGCCACGGACGACTCTGATGAACAGCATCGAAGAGCTTTCCAGGCACACACTGAAAACGTCAGCTTTTTCCTCAGTAAGGAATCATTTTTAACTTCGATTTCCTTGTTAGACATTGTGAGCTAAAAATTAACTTTAGTTATGATTTGAAATTATAAAGCAGGAACAGTTGTCCTACTAAATGATTTAGCAGAGAAAAAGGGATGTACGGTACGGTACAAGAAGTATGGAACTTCTTGTTATGTGCGTTATAATTATCAAACCTTATAGACTTTTAGACTACCTACGTCATTATTTTAGGGATTATATCCTAATTTTAGGAATTAACATAGCAATCCCGCCTTTTATCCCCGAAGAGGTGCACATTACGGCACTTAATGCCACTACAAATGTAACACCCACTTTTCACTGTTTATGTTATGAGTGCCATGTAATTAGGGGTGAGCCTATTGCCATATACCGGGCACAATTCCAGACTCAGTCCCAGTATATAATACTTTGCCCAACCCGGGAAACGAACTCGAGACCCCTTGCTCGGCAGTCACACTTGCGACGACTCGGCCAATGAGGCAGTCATTTTAGTCATTATAGCCCAATTTTAGGGATTGAATCCGGATTTTCGTAATCTGCTAGTACCTACTACAAAAAATTAAAATTTACGACCACTATATCAACCACATATTGCCTAAGTACTACCTAGTACCTATTTAATTACAGACATAGGCACTCAACGCTTAGACAAGCTGCAAGCAGAATACGATCACCAGAAGAACGATCTGCTAGAGAATTGGGACAAAGAAGAAATGGAACTAATAGACTGCCAGGATAGAGCCGAGTTCAAGCTGAAGCTGATCATGTACATACAGGACAGGGACTTCCAGACATTGAGGAAGAACATAGAGACGCAACGCGCTACGGAGAAGAATGATGCGAGGCTTGAGGTGAGAGAAAAGAGGTTCTTTGATTTCTTTTTATGGCATAAGCCGGTAAACGAGCAGACGGATCACCTGCTGGTAAGCAATCGGCGACGCCCATGGACACCTGAAACACCAAGTTGCGTTACCGGCCTTTTGGGAATTTGTTGATTGTGAAGCATTCAGGGATTGGGGAGACTGGAGAGGGGGGATAATTGGGCCTCCGGTAACCTCACTCACACGATAAAACACAACGCATAAGTTGTTTCACGTCGGTTTTCTGTGAGGCCGTGGTATTATTCCGGTCGAGCCGGCCTATTCGTGCCGAGGCATGGCCCTCCCACACTTTCTTCTTTACTTCATTTCTTCATTTTCTTCATTAACACCTCGTGG